CCATGTCGTTGGAGCATCATTTTTTACTCTTTGTAACTTAGTAATGTTAATTTTATGCTTAGTCAGTAATCTGACTCTTGCTAATCCCTCTTGATAAAATGGTTTAATATTTACTAATGACAACCTCAACTGGCTGTTGTTTTTATTTCGTGATCAGGGTTAAATCTGCATGTGTGTTGTTTTAGTCACTCTAATAGCAATAAGTCGAGAAGGTTTCAAAACTAGAAAGTTATTAAATTAGTATCATGTTTTTGGCTTCATATTAAAATATTAAATATCACCATTTTATTTTTAGACTTGGCTCACCTGACCTTTTTCCCCAAACACCAAATTGCCTTGAGGACCTATGATGAGAGACCGTATGCAATCTGGATATAGAGAAACAGTTGAGAAGAAAACAACATAGCCTGGATCATAGATTCACTTTAAGAATTACTAGGTCTGCTCTTAATTATAAAACTTTATTTGTAGTTTATAAATGAGATCTTATAATTAGGAACGGATGTAGTATATGTTTTATAGACCTCATTCCTTTGCCAATATGGTAAGCGGTTAAATTCCCAAATTGTTTTAATATTAGTCAAACCTGTATAATTTTTAAACACTTGCTTTAAAAATAAAACTTATGATGTCACATAGACAATAACTGCTCCCATAATATAAATTGTACTAGTATTTTTTTTTTGCCAATAAATAGTACAAGTGTTTTAAAATAGCGACTATGCTGTTTTACTTTTATTCAGCTATGCAAGCTTAAGAATTTTTCCTTATTGTTTTCAATATACTATTAATTAGAACACTTTTTAGTCGTGACAAACTCAGAATGTAAATAATTGGAAAAATTGATATTTAATTGTTATATTTTGGGTGAGTTCGCAACTCAGTTCTTATAGTTTGACTCATCACGACTCACTTCTCATAGTGACAACCACATCCCAACAAAAATGTCATTCCTCACTTATCCTGCCTCTTTTTTGCTTTCAGTGCCAACGCATTTCCATTCATCAATGCATCCAAGTCTCATATTCATTTAACTCGGAACCCATTCTTTTTCTTAGAAAATTAACATCGCACGTGACATATGGACATGGGTGATGCTTGCTTTGTCTTCCCCATCCATCTTGGTCAAAAAGTTATACTAAATCTATCTATTATTATATACACATTCTGTCATGTCTGCATGTTTATTTAAGGTTAAAGAAATTAGGAAGTTTTCCAATTTTTGCCTCCTATGTTGCACTTTTCATGAAAGTTATAAAATTAAAAAAATATGAATTTTCAATTTGCTAACAATTTGTTTTAGATATTTTAGTTTTAGTTTTTAGATTTTAGATTATTTTATTTCCATACTGCTGCTTTAAAATTTTGCATTATTTTATCTTCTCAATATTCCTATTTTGCCTCTCATGTGAATTTTTTGGGGAGTTATGAAATTAAAATAAATAAAATATTTTTCCTACAAACGTATTAATTGAATTTAACATTTAAAAGTGGTGGAAGATCGTAAATATTTATGTTTCAATTTGAATTTATTAATTGAGTTATTTGAATTTGTAGATTCTAGACAGAATTTATATGTGTGTGTCTACATATATATATATATATATATATATATAATTTTGAATTTCGCTCTTTTAGTTTGGTTATCTTAACTTCTCATTATTATTTTAAATTTAACGTGTGTGGAAAGCCATCCATTCATCTCTTTCTAAATCAGTTGAGTTTTTTTTTTTCATTTTAAATTTGGGTTGTTAGAAGAATATAAGATACATATTTTTTATGTTAAAGAGCACCTCAGATATAAAACCTCCAATATCACTTACAATAAGATATTTTGTAATCTTATCTCTTAAAAAATATATGCAATTTTCAATTGACTACCGAATCTCCATTCCTTTTCTTTTTGGCTATATATTGGAGCAACATATTATAGGAATATAAATAATACTACCTCTGGTCCTAATTATAAGACCCAGTTGACTAATTTGAGGAGATTAAGGAAAGAAGTTAAGTTAGTTATTTGTAATAAATAGGTGTTGTCTTTCCTAAAATATCCTTACTATTCAACTATATTGGCTAGAACTACAATTATTAGAAGAACTATCTTGGAAAACAATACATAGATATGAGAGATAAAATGGATTGGGCTCTTATATTTAGGACCAAAATAAAAGTCAAATGAGGTGACCGGAGGTAGTATCTTGGAGCAATGAAGGCCTTAATGTTGCGTTACGACAGCCATAGGTCATAATTACGTAATGCTATTGATTTTTGCCTTCTCAATATATGTGTAGAAAGCAATACCTAATCATATTCTCATTTAAGAAATATGCTTAAAATATGTTTTGAATAAATTTATCATCGATTTCAGATATAAATTAAAAAAATCTATAGGAAGTGAATATATAAATAATACAATTTATTCAAATGCGTGAAAATCCCAAGATGCCAAAGCGACATATGTTCACTTTCTTACTTAGTAAAAACAACTTTTAAAATATCATAATTAAAAAAACTCTTAAAATAAGAAATATTATCTATATATGCTATGCTCTAAAAAAATATCATTAATTTCATATATTAATATATAAAAAAAGTCAATAGCAAGCCAACATATAAATAATTCAATTTATTTAAAAGAGTGAAAATCATACGGGCTAATAGAAGGCATCACAATGGGACAAGTGTTCATTTTCTCATTTAGTAAAAACTATTCCTAAATTTTTAAAGTATAAGTCCATATTTTAGAAAACTCTAAACATTCTTAAAATAAGAAATATTTGCTTTATATAATATGTTCTGAGAGAATTCATTATTGATTTCATATATCAATATACAAATAAAATCAGTAACAAGTCAATATATAAATAATACAATTTATTAAAAAGAATTAAAATGCACTGATCCTAGAGCAAACATCAAAAGCAGACGTGGTGGCTTTTTCACTTAGTGAAAACTTTTTAAGTGCGGATTCATAACTGAAAATACTTTGAATGGTCCTAAAATATGAAATATTTGCTATATATGATATGTTTTAGACAAATTCTTTATTAATTCTTTACATAGAAATAAAAAGAACTGAATTTCAAGATGAGATATAAAATAATGCAATTTATTTAAAAGAGTTAAAATCGCCTGGGTCTAAAAACCGATACCACAAGAGGACATATATTTACTTTCTTATTTAGTGAAAACAAATCACTCACATGTGGTAACTCCACGATTATATGTTATAATATTCATGTTACTATGGGTTGCATGGATGACCAATTGTATACAAAGAGGTTTGCTGTGGTCCTTTTAAAGATTGACAAATACTATTCAAGTTACTAAGGGAGATGATCTATGAGGACCAGAACATTCAGGTTTTTCCACACTAACGGGAAAACACAGGTGTGCGGACTACATGGCAAGACCCCGCCACACAGGATTGACAGAGGTGATACTCTCTTGGGAGGTGCCCAAGAGATGCAAAGGGATGTTCCTGGAAGACAAGATGTTAGCATGACTGTTTTGTTGTTCTTTTGTGTAGCCTTTTGAAGGCTTTTTTTTTTTTTTTTTAATTTTCCTCAAGCTTCGGCTTGCCTTTCCATTGGGGGGGGGGGAGAGTGACAAATACATTCATTATATGTAATAGTTGTATTTAACAAAACTTACTCATGTGTATACTACTTTGTCCCTTATTATAAAATTCTTTTAACTAAATTACGCTGTTTAAGAAAACAATTAGAATTAGTTAAAAGCAATTAATATGTAGTAAATACAATTTATTTTCCAAACATACCCCTATATATAAATGGTAGATGTGAGAGAGTAATAGTGAGATAAATGAAAAAAATGTATTAAATGCATTAAACTAGGGGTAAAATAAGTAATAATATATTAAATGTTTAGACAAACTCAAAAGGGATCTTATAAAAAGGGACAAACCTATTCAAAAAATTAGATCTTATAATAAGGGACGGAGGAATTATTTCACTAATTTGACACATTTACTCCAGAGGTTCTAAAGTTTATTATTTATAAGATTATAAAAGTTTGAAATTAAATGACTCCATACATTAATAATTATTTATGTTTTAAATTATAAAAAATCATTTTTACACCCCATACATTGCTCGAGCACCCATAATGTTGACGCATAACATAGACAAATCAATTGGATTCCGTGATGGTACTTGGTTCATTGTCACTCGGTTAGAAAAACATATCATCGGAGTAGAGATCATTATGGAGACACATATTGGCTTGCGTGTATTGATTTCATGTTTGACCATTACACCATTTGATACATTGCCGATTACTCTGTGCATAAGACAATACTTAGTGATACTATGTTTCACTATGACTATTAACAACAGTTAAGGGTGGAGCATGATAAACCTTGGATTGTATTTATTCCGGTCAATTTTCATTCATGGAGAGCTATATATGGACATATCACACGTGCGGCACAAAGAAGGGTTGAAGATCCTGGTCCTTAATGGTAAGGTGTATCTTATAGGTAAAACTTCAGATGTTATCTAAAAGAAATTTTTTTTTTTTAATCTATGAGTTCGGAAAACTTATTGTGTTAAAACAAACTTTTTTTTGGGTCCATTATAAAGCTTTTTATTTGCCTCAAATATACCCAGTATATTGCACCGGCACCTAGTTGAGTTAAAAAAACAGGCATGCTGATGCTTATATATGTGAACACACTATCCAGCCCTGCGGGTTTAGTGCTCATCAGTTGATGAGCACCCAGCGCTTATCAGTTGATGAGCAATTTAGACCGTTCAGATTTAATATTTTTAAATAATTATTTTAAAATAAAAAAAATTATTTTTTAAAAATAAAAAAGTTAAAGTATTATTTTTTTTTTATTTTATACCCATTAGAATAATTATTTTAAAAAAATAAAAATAAAAATAAAAATAAATATGAACCGTCCAGCGGTCCAGGTCCTATGATCAGAGCACCCAAATTCATTCCCCTGCCCTCTCCCTCAGAAAACCTCCAACTAAACAATACCACAGTCTCCGTCCATAGCGCGAGTGACAGGCGGAGAGAGCGAGGGATATGGCGTGGTACGCTGCCAGGTCCTTCCACGTGCCGGCTATGGAAATCGGTGCATTGCGGAGCCGGGCTTCCTTGGCTGCTGGCATCGGCTTTGTCTCGGTGGCCGGGACTACCATGTGGCGTTCTTCTGCTTCGTCGTTTACCAAGCGCTCTGTGCCTTTTGCTTGTCTGGGAATTTCCAGTGATACTGGTAAATCTTGATAATTTCATTAATTTATTCTATTTAGTTTCAACAAATTTGGGGAATATCGCGGAGATATCTTCTTGAAAGCAATATAGTCTTCTTCTTGTTTTTTCTGGTCAAGCAATATAGTCTTCTTTAAATTTTGATAAGATGCGAAGGCGAAGTTGCATAAGTAGCCTATCAAAGCTATTGAAAAGCCTTTGAACGTATTATTTTCGTTATTCCTTTTGGAGATTGGCGACTAAAACTGTTTGCAGACAGTTCACTACTGAATAAGTTAAGCGGATTACAAAGAAAATTTATGATAGGGAGTGGGTTGGATAATAATACAAGTCTTGCTCGTACTATATTCCAAGGAACCTTACTGCTGGAGTTTCTCCTGTACTTTTATGTCGAATTGGATTTTTCTTTTGGGGTCTGAATACTGCATATTATTAGTAGATTAGTGCATCAATAAGAAAGATCATTCAGGTGCATGACACTTGATATATACAATCAAGAACAAACAAACCTACTAAGGTATAACAAACAACTAAAGTCGACAAGAGAGACAGAATACTAGTGATCAGTCAACACCTTCCCTTTAAGCTTGGTGAGATCAAATTTCATTGCATTGGTTTTGATAATGACCCATTTGTCTTAAAACATTAATAGGAAAGGTCATACTGTGAGTGGGAATCTATTGAGCATGGAGACTGTTATGTAATTATAATTATAAATGAGAAAATATTTAAATATGATATAAATAGGATAAATATTAGAAGGACTTAGATAGGATTTATTTATATTAGTAGGATCTGGATAAATTAGGATAATTACATAATATTGGTATATCTATTTAGATTTATAGCTATTGTTGCTTATAAATAAGTATTAACTATTCTTTGTAACTTAGTTTTGCAATGTGATTAGAAGTTATTCAGCTAGGGAAGAGATGATTGCTATCCTCAAGTGTCATCTCCATCATGCAGCGAACATGATGAAGCAGAAGGCATATTAACACAGAATTGACAGAGAATTCACTGTTGGTGAATGGGTTTTCCTAAAGCTTGAACCTTATCAACAAATTTCAGCAGCTACTAGGAGTTCTCAGAAGGTAGCTCCTAGGTATTTTGGTCCTTACAAAGTCCTAGAGAGGATTGGCAAGGTTGCATACAAGCTGGACCTACCACTTGAGTGAAGAATTCACCCTACCTTCCACATTTCTATGCTCAAATTGTGCCCAGACCCTTCAGTCAAGCCAAGGCACCCACCTTTTGATTTTCCAGAATTACATGCTGTTCTAGAACCTTAAAGAATACTCAATAAAAGGGTTGGCAGGAAGAAACAACATATTATTACTGAAATCTTGGTACTGTGGACAGGAAAACCTGACGAGGAAATCTCTTGGATGCCCCTGTTCCAATTTCAGCAGCAATTTCCAGCATTTACTATCATTGATCCTTGAGGGCAAGGATCTTTTGAAAAAAAAAAAGGCAATGTTATGTAATTGTATTGTTGTGTTTTAGTTAAGGGTAGCTTAGTAAATGTAATTAGTAGTAAACTAGCCGTTAGTTTAGTCATTGTTAGTTAATTGTTTGTTATGTAGCTGCCTATATAAGGATGTAATATCAGACATAAGAGGGCTGTGATGTGAATGGATTAATCTAAGCGTACTATTCAGCATTTCTCCTCTCTCTGTTCTTTTCTTCTCTCCTCTCCTCTCCTCTGTTTCTCTACCTTTCTGGTTCTTTTCCTCTCTCCTTCCGTCTTTTCCCTTCCTAATTCCCCATCTCTGCTGGTTCATATTATAGAACCATAACAGAGACACCTAGTTTCAGACATCCCACGTTACCCGGACACTCTGCTTAAACGGTCTGATGCATGTCTACTGTGTTAGAATATATGAAAGTTATTTGCTTGACTTGGAATCTTGGATAGATATCAAACATAGCTCACGTTCAATCTTGAAAATAAGTGACCTGAAAGAAACAAGGGGAAGAAAGACTTTGAAAAGGGCTACAATGATAGACTACAGATCAATCTTAAAACAAAGAAAGTTCTCCCCTAGCTTTTTATCTTCTCTATGCATGAATAGAATAATCATATGAATGAACAAGTATAACTTACATCTGTATTTATTGGAATGTTTCTTGCTGTGATATTTGATTTCTGGCTTTCATATGTGATGGAAAACACTAAGAAAATGTTCTCTTTTAGAGTTTGGCATTTTTGGCTTTTCCCTCTAATTATTAATCGACCATTTACGTGGGTAGCACTTATATTTCAAGTATTATTAGTTTAGTTCCCCTATGAGGTACTTTACATGTGTGTGGATTGTTGGGGTTGGGTTTTTTGTTTTTCGTTTTTTTTTTTTTTTTTTTTTGGGGGGGGGGGGGTTCCTATTTGCACCAGAATCTCAGTTATCATCTTGCATTAATCATTTCTTGTGTATGAAATCTGATGTGGTGTTTTCCAAAACGCAAAAACTTCTGATGTGCTGGACATCCTTTTATGAAACACACACACACATGTATTTATATAGATATATTATAGATAGAGAGCGAGCTACTTCCAGCAGAATCTCAGTTACCACCTTGCGTTACTCATTTTTTTGGGATCAAATCTGATGTGATGTTCATCATTTTATGAAATTTAGGTCTCAAGGAAGCTGTTCAAACTGAGAAGGCTCCTGCGGCACTGGGGCCATATTCCCAAGCAATCAAAGCCAACAACCTTCTGTTTGTGTCTGGCGTTCTTGGTCTTGTTCCTGAGGTTTTCTATCATGAGTTTACTCTTGTCCACCATCTCAGTGTCTGTATATATGCTAGTGCACCAGCAAATCTGCGTACTCACAATTTGTTTCATGCATTCAAGTGCAGACAGGAAAATTTATCTCTGGTAATGTTGAGGATCAAACAGAGCAGGTACTAAAACCACTGATCTTGGGGAATGCCATAGTCACTTGATTATTCTCTTTGTCCCCCCCCCCCTTCTGTTACCTGTTCTATTTCCCTTGTATATTAATGTATTCCTCTCTCTGCCGATTCAAGGAACTGAGATGATTAATTTTATGGAAATGAAAAGCAAAACTTGGCTTGGCTAGTGTTTTCTTGGACTTGCTGCTTATGTTTTACTTTTTTGTAACATCAACTCCTAACAGTTTGATGATTTTTATTGCACTAAGTGATGGCAGTATGGAAATGTGAAACTTGAAAGTGAAATTGCAAACCTCCATCAGTAATTCTGGTTTCATGCTCTTCTTTGGTTGATGCATGTGAAGTGTTGTCTTGTTTTCCAGTAACCCATGTGTTGTTGATGTACCCATTTACTTCCTAGGGTAAGCCGGTTACCCATTATTGTAGCTGATGATTGTTGTATTTAAATTTACAGGTACTAAAAAATATGGGGGAAATTCTAAAAGCTGGTGGAGCCAGCTATTCATCAGTTGTCAAGACTACAATTTTGTATAAATTCTGTCTAATCTCTCTCCCATAGTATGGATAGTGTTGAGTGCATGAAAGTTTACTATTATTTTTCCATTTGATTCCTGTAGGTTGGCCGACCTGAAGGACTTCAAGAAAGTAAATGAGATATATGCTAAATGTGAGTTCTGTAGTTTGAATTTTGATGTTTCCTTTACATAGACTCGTGTTAGTCTGCGGAAGATGGTTGTTGTCTTGAGTTGAGTAAAGAAGTCCTAGCCTTTTGTTTCATTTATAAAATTTTATTCTAAATTAATATAGGGTTCAAGGGTTCAAGAAAAGCATGCAATGTTTGGTACGTAGAAAAGTGTTTTCTAGATCAAATAGTAAATGCACCTAGAAATAAAACTGGATAAGTGCATTTCCCGTTTTCTTTCTGTAAAATATTTTTCTGCGTACCAGCCATTGCATTATATTCTGGACATTGTCATGTGATTTTACTCCACTTCGAGGCATGTGTAATCTTTAGGATGAAAAGAGGAAGGGAAATGGAGTATGGTAATAGATGAGCCTTTTGACCATACATAGAAAGAAGCAATAAAAAGAGATAAACGGTTGGATAACAATAACAAGATATAATGGATATTGTGTGAAATGTTATCCTGATTTCTGTGCAATCCCTCTCACCCTCCCATTCGGCACCGAACATTTCTTTTTGATGGAAAATGGGTTCAAGGGCCTAATGTTGCGCCATATAGAAAAATTGGTGACATGTCTGTATGTTAGCTGGCGAGCTTTTAGATTAAATTAAAAATCCTTATGATAGGTTGTGCTGGGATGTGATTGTCATACACGTGCATTATCATGGATACTGATATACCTGTGTTATATAAACCTGTCATTCCCATCATAGGCCGTTGATGATGATTTTGAGAATTTTCTTTTGACTGCCTCAAATGTTTTTTTGTTTTTTTGGCAGACTTTGTCTCACCTGCCCCGGCTCGTGCAACATATCAAGTAGCTGCTTTGCCTTTAGATGCGAAGATTGAAATTGAGTGCATAGCAGCATTGTAGACACGTTTTAAGACCGTATCTAGCCCCAACCCATCAAGAATGATAATAACGCAGAACGGGATATATCTAAGAATTGCAGTTTTATTCAAAACTGACTGTAATTGGTATTTCAGATTACCTCGAAGACTGGCTGTCCTTTGAAAGTGAATGAGAATCAGGTCCCAAAAAAAAAAAAAAAGGAAAAAATCTCTTATCGTGGATGATTTGATTGGAACCAAATTCAAGTTTAAAGTTCACGGTGCCACGCAACCCCCGAGAATGTTCTAAAGTTTCGTAACCAAACAATTAATGCTCAATCTTTTTGTTGAATTTTTTGGGACAAATTGCACGTGAGCTTGATGTTCAACTAAGAAAGGAGGTAGGATATGCAATTAGATTTGAGGACAGGACATCTTCAAGCTTCCAAACGGAGGTGATGTTTTACACCACCTCTGTTTTTAAATATTTATTGGGGTATGGTTTTAGTAAACTCACTGATGGATTCCGCACCTAGATTGGATAGATATGTCTTCGCATTTTACACGAGGGATGTAGGTGACTGCAGATATCTAGAATTGTATATTTCACCCTAGCAGGTTTTCTTGTATTGAGGAGGCTACTCCTCGTTAAATCGGTGTTTAACCAATGAATCATATTATTGAAAACTGACGACAAGTACTGCGCAAGCACTATGGACTAAATCATAATTGTCAGTGGGAGTTATGGTCTGGGCGCGTGTTGGTGAATCATTTTGGGAGAATTTAAGGGGATAATTAATGATGAAGTAAAAGTTGAAAAATTCTCGAGTTCTAGCATGTAAAGTAAATTTTATTTAATAATATTATTGAGATTAATTCTAAAACATTAGTGCGGCATTAAAATTAAGTTGTTTGACAAATCCATGTAATTTTGTTTTCTAAGTAAGCCTTTTTTGTCACTGTTAGTAATTAAATGTATATAAATTCAGGGTTTCTATATTCATCAGTTTTCTACTTTTCGTTGGGCGAACCTAATCTATTGGTTAACCTAGAGAAAATTGCAAATAAAGACTGAAAATTATAAAATTGCAATATAAGCTTTTGAGTTAACAAAATTGCCCATAGAAATCAGGTCTTAAATATAAATTATGAACCAAAATTTCCTCTCTCTTCTCCCTCCCTCCCTCCCTCCTCCTGGCCTCTACTTCTCCTCCTCCCTCAACCCACCTTCTTCCCCGATCTCTACGTCTCCACCCCTCATTCTCCTACCCCCCCCCTCCATCATCCCCAACCCCCACCCCATCACCCCCACCCCGCTTCACTCGTCTACCCTGTATTTTTCTACAGTGCTGGTGTAGCAGTGAATGCTTTCGAAGTAGCTGGAATGATTTTGCCTTTGGAATCAGAAGCTAATGACAAAGAGAATTTTGGAAGAGTCCTAGGTTCGGGTATCACAGTGATTTCCCTTCTGCTTGGAGCATTTGGCGCTCTTGCCTACTTTGCTTTTGGGAATGAAACCAAAAATAGCATCAAGATTATGGTGTTATGAAAAAGTGATGGTATTTTGCTTATAGGCATAACAATGCCATTATCCTGTATATACAACAATGTGGATGCATTATTTTTTCTAAAGTGTATAAAAAAATTATCGTCATCAACATGCTTATTTTTTGTTATTGGTAATAACATTGTCGTTATTTCCCAATGATAACGTGTTATTGGTAAGTAAAATGTGAAAATAACGTCATGTTATGAACTAAACAAAGTTGGTGGTATCAGCTTCTTATGGTTTATTATTTCTTAATCAACACTTGTTATTGACAATTAAAATATGGAAACAATATCATTTTCTGGACTAAACTAAGTTATTTTAGTCGTAATAAATTTTGGTAATAAAAAATTTATAACGAGGAATTTAGATAGGAAAACAAAGAAATGAGAGATAAATTCCTCATTATCAAATAAACTAATGAACATAACGAGACTTTCTTTTGCATTACTTAAAGTTTAAAACTAGTCATATTATTCCTAAATCCTAAGTTAGAAATAGTTCAACTTGCTATAAATTTCATGACATATATTAATATATCTATATATAAAGTATTTACATTTTATTATGAAGAAGTTAATCATAAGCATGTATTTAAATGTTGTCCCATAAATCTGACGTCCTTGAGATTGAGGGAAGCACTGGCGTCGGCTCTGATAGCTTGGCTTGATGCATGTGGCTTTTGGGATTGGTGTCCTTAGGGAAAAGGATGAGAACAAACAATAGATATAATATTATCCTGTAAACAAAATTTAAGTCAAGGATGGGATCTCATGCTTTGGTGTTTATAGAAAGAAATCCTCTATTCTGTAGGTAACATGTCAACCTAGCAATAAAATCAAAGACACAATCCCAAATGAAGAGACCAAATCAAACTTTGAGTTATGTAGGCAACTTATTATTTCACAAACAGAAGTTGTTATTTCTAAGTAACACGTCAATTTTTGAACCAACTTATAATTTTTTATTTTAAATTTGTAATTTTTTATTGTAGACTTATAATTTTTTATTTCAAACTTGTTATTTCCTATTACAAACTTGTAAACTATTTCAGACTTGTAATTTTTTATTATAAACTTGTGATTCTTTATTTCTGACTTTTAATTCCCTACTTGCAATAACTTAAGTTTCAATAGAAATTGGTATTATTTTAACAATTTAGCTGTAAATAACAAGTCTAATATATAAAATAACAAGTGTTGAAAATCTATTCAAATTAAGTTTTAGTAAAAACTGGCATTATTTCACAATTTAGTTGTCAATAACAAGTTTAGTATAAGAAATAATAAGTGTTGAAAAACTATTCACAATAATTTAAGTTTTAGTAGATTTTGACATTATTTTCATAATTTAGTTGTCAATAACAAGTCTAGTATGTGAAATAACAAGTGGTGAAAGCTATTTACAATAACTTAAGTTTTAGCAAATTTTGGCATTATTTTCATAATTTAGTTGCTAATGATAAGTGTAATATAAAAAATAACAAGTGTTGAAAAAGCTATTCACAATAACTTAAGTTTTAGCAGAAATTAGCATTATTTCATAATTTAGTTACTAATGACAAGTCTAGTATGAGAAATAACAAGTTTTGAAAAGTTATTCATAATAACTTAAGTTTGAAACGAAATTGGGATTATTTCAATAATTTAGTTGTCAATGACAAGTTTAATATAAAAAATAACAAGTATTGAAAAACTATTTATATTAACTTAAATTTTAGTACTTACCAAAAAAATTTTTTAGTAGAAATTGACCCTACTAAACCGTTTTTGAGACTGAAGTTAAATGTTTAACCTGTTCACATTTGTTTTGGTTTTTTTCCACCTTTTTATGGGTGTATTCATATCTCATATATATATAGATACACACACACACAGATCTTGGGCTGTATGATGATGTGTATGTCGCTTCAACTCTTAATTTGATTTCTTTGTTTTTGCATTTGGATGCAAAAACATACTTTACAGGAAGTCAATAATGCAGGGTACGCAAGTCCAGAGTATCCAAGAAATTTGCTTGCTTATTTCTGGTGACAAACGACAGCATCGATTTTGCGTCAAATTTTACATAAAAACGCATTCAATTTGAAGTTTAAAACTTGGAGAAGAGAATCACCAAAATGAGACGAACAGCAGGAATGGGGAGGTGGGGTAGGGAGGAGGAAGGAGGGAGAAGGAGGAAGGAAAGAAGGAAAGAGAAGAGGAGGATGATGACTGTTTTTTCCCTAAATAAATGAGGGTATTTTGGTCTTTTTTCTAACATTACATAATTCATATTTAAGATTAGGTCTCTAGCAATAATTTTACCAATTCAAGTACTCATTTTGTAATTTCATAATTTCAAAGGTCTTTTCCCACGATTTTCCCATTAACCTATTCTCTGTTTTTGTTGTTGTGGGTAATTAGTACTAAACTCGTGCAATGCATAGGTGATTTTAGTATGGCTGAACACTTAAGAGGGGAAGTAAATTGTGTGTTAAAAATTTTATCAGATAATAAATCAAACAATTTATGTAAATAGAGTAGAGTGGAGAAGATCTATTGTCTTGGAAGGAAATGCTAAATAGAAAAATACTAAGCATAGGATTTATACTAGTTTGATCAAAACCTGGTCTATGTCTAGTCCTTAAGCTTCAACTGAGAGTTTCACCATATCCAAAGTTCAATAGGCTCTTAGTGCTATAGTATAATAACCACCTTCATACCAGAGGCAACTCTTCAAACCTTGAGGCAATCACTCTTCTTTACAACACATAAGGTTTTTATCTCCGCTTAAAATCTCATGTTTTTAAGTAATAAATAAAAATGTATAGTGGAGTAAATCTTTCTTTTTCTCTCTAAACAAGGTAAATGCGAAACATTAAAACTCAATTAATTTTCCAGAGCATGTTGCAAAGAATGTTCTTTTTGTACACGTAGCTCAAGTGTGATTTCTCTTAGTTCTCTACTTCATTGAATGTGTTCTCCTGTTTGTAGTCCATCTCTTAATTTGTTTGTTAGACACAGAGTTAAGTTTTTATTGAAGCTTGTACCTCAGGTAGGTGAAAGAATTAAATAAAACTTCCTGTTGAAGCTTGTTTTTGAGTCAGTCGGTTCTATTTAATGCTTTTTGACAAATTGCTTTTCTTCTTAATATTCCTGTTGGCTCTTTGATAACCTACAGTGTTTTTAATATATTTTAAAAGTGTATTTTCTTTGATAGGATACTTTGTATAAAATAATTTTAGGATGATTCAAAATCTGATAAAATAATTTTTCAATGTAAAGCTAGAATAAACTAAGAGTTAAAAATCACTAGGAACATATCTTCAGTTTTCAGACAGTCCAACAGAAATATATTGTTATAAAGCTTGCTCTAACTAGGATAGAGACGTAATCATTTTTAACTTCATCTTTATCTTGAATATATTAGAGTCGAATAATCAAATATATAATGTGAGCTTTGAGAAAATGACTAGGATATAGGCTGAGAGTTAAAAGTGACCCTGAACATATTTCCAATATATTCTGGTTTTAGTATAAAGCTAAACAAGGATATTTTACGAGTAGAGTGAGGCTTTTCTGACTTGGTTCATCTCAAGAATTCATGCGAGTCAAATATGCATATTTAAGAAGAGTAGTTTGGCATAAAGCTCGTAGTGCCAATTTAATACTAACGGAATGGAAAATAAACTTTCATCTAGCAAAGTTAATAGGATCATGGGAAGAGATTTACTATGCAATGTCTTGTACCAAATTTAAAGT